GCATGAGCCACAGCAAGAAGAGCATGACGCGCTGACTGGCTCACTCCCCTCACCCCTCTAATGTCAATGTCATGATGTCGATGACGCAGATAAGTGATGCAGGATTTCGTCCATTCGCCGACATGCCTTCCGTTAAAAGCGGCTTGGCATCAATATTAAGATTCAGGGTTTGGAAGGGATGGGCTGTAATCGAAAATCGATGCAGTTTGAAACTTGAGAAAACTGGTATTTCCTGCAATCGGCATCGATGGAACCAATTTGAAACTTGAGAGAATGGTACTTCCCGCTATCGACATCGACGCGTGCTTCGAAAGCACAAGGTAGTCTATAGGAAATACTTAGCATGATCATCTTGCAAGCGTAGTAGGAAACGATGCTGTGCAATACTTCGCATGACTATGTTTGTTCTTATGGTGTCTACGAAACGGTTATTAAGATCCGTAACAAAAGGCTTTCTTCCCATCAGTTGCGATTTTTAGGAAGTAGACTAATTATTGGCAATACTTAGCCTGATTATCTATGCTTCTAGGCGCAGCGTACTAACGTTACTAAGGCTACTGTAGTAGTAAGCGGACTATACGTAACACTTAGCATGATTATCTTCGTTCTCATGGGCTCCACGTCAAGGTTGTAGGTCATATTTGTTGGGCATGGTAAGTCAAAATGTAAAACGGCGGCTTTTGGGGGCGGATCAGTTGCGTTTCATAGGTTATAGTCTGTATTTCAAAAGATTCCCGCTAGCAGGGATTTGGGCGATACTTAACATGGTTAGTTGTCGTTCATGGTTCATAAGCTGTGTGTACTAGGGCTCCCAGTACAGGGAGTATAGGAAATATTTAGTAGGATTAGATGTGTTATATAAGTATAATTAATCAGTCTCTAACAGGATGCACAGCAGCAGTGCCATAGGCATGAGGTAAGTTACAAGTAGTAGACACAATAAATAGTAGCTATGCCGTTTAATTAAGCGTTTGATCTTGCACTTCACAAAATCAAGCTCAATAGACCTGAAAGGTGTCGGTTCATATATATATATACACATGTCTAAGTATGTACACATGTTGTATAGTTATACATACGGATGTTGCCAGCATGTGTTCGCCCGAATGTATGTAGGCAGGCCGGCATGTGTGCATGCATGCATGGATGGATGTAAGTAGGCAGCAGGCAGGGAGGTATGTAATTGCGTCACGTATGTATGCATGATGGAAGTATGTAGATACTTTAACTTGTTTCGAAGTAGTTTGCCCTTGTATTGTTCGTTGCCGAAACGTCTCACACACCCTAGTACCTGCATACATGTGTCTGTGTATGTGTATGTGTTTACTTATGTATCATGTATGTGCATATGCAACTGCAAATGCATACTTGCACGCATACATACATACGTACGTACATACCTACGTACGTACGCACATACACATTGACATGAATACCTCTATATGTGTGTGCATCTCCGTACGTATGTAGGTATGCATATATATATATATGTATATATATATAATTATATAATT